TGAGATCATGACCTGAGCCGAAGTTGGACACCCAACCGAGCCACTCAGGTGCCCCAACTGCCCACTTTTTAAATGTTCATGTACCCCAAAGTTTATTCTTGGTTCTTTTTTCTTCTCATCTTAAAGTATATATTTCCTTGGTGACTTTATCCATTCCCTTGATGTAAACTTCCAACATGTGCTAATTAATTTCAAATCTATATGTTTCATCTAGAGATCCCTCTGTCACATAACCCACGGTGTATTGGACATCTCTAGTTGGATACTACAAGGGTACCTCCAATTAAACATATTCAAAACAGGGGCACCTGGGTTGCTCAGTAGGTTAAGCATCTGACTTCGGCTCAGGTCATGATCTCACCATTCCTGAGTTCAAGCCCCGCGTCTGGCTCTGTGCTGACAGCTCAGAGCCTGGGGCCTGTTTCATTCAGATTCTGTGTCTCACTCTCTGTCTCTGCACCCACCCCCCTCGTACTCTGTCTCTCTCTCTCAAAAATAAACAAACATTAAAAAATTTTTAAACTTGGGGCGCCTGGGTGGTGCAGTCGGTTAAGCGTCCGACTTCAGCCAGGTCACGATCTCGCGGTCCGTGGGTTCGAGCCCCGCGTCAGGGTCTGGGCTGATGGCTGGGAGCCTGGAGCCTGTTTCCGATTCTGTGTCTCCCTCTCTCTCTGCCCCTCCCCCGTTCATGCTCTGTCTCTCTCTGTCCCAAAAGTAAATAAATGTTGAAAAAAAAAATTTAAAAAAAATTTTTTTAAACATATTCAAAACAGATTTTAAAAACTCATTTTATTATCTCCCATTTTGTACAACAACTAACACGAGAACTACAAAATTCTGCTGTTTTCCTTTATTTTTGATCCTCTGTTATTCACAAACCCGTTCAAAGCAGAAACCTGTTAGTCATCTTTGATTCCTCCTGTCAACTTTCCTTGGTCATATCAATTCTACTCCTCACAGTAATCTCTAATTCATTTCATGTTTTTTATCCCAATCGATTCTCTTCTAGTATACTCTTAGCCAAAACACAACAATCAAATATGATCATCATGCTAATACTTTACTTAAAATTTTTAAGTGATTTCCCATTTCCCATTACTTTTACAAAAAATAAGAACCACGACCTTAAAAAAAAAAAAATCAGTTAAACCTTTGTCTAACTTCTCCAGTCTCTTCTTAGCACTCTGTATAAATCATGAGAACTAACCTGCACAGAAGCAGTGGGTGCAGATTTATTGAAGAAAGTCTCTGCATTCTCTGTAATGGCTTTCATTGTCTATAATGCCCTTATCTCTTACACATCCTTCATCCACACAGGTTAAACTTCCTTTTCAGTAGAAACTTCCCACAGCCCCCCTCTCTCAGTCCAAGTTAGGTAACCTGCATTTGTCCTCCAAGGATTTATAATATACTTTACTATCCTATTTACCCACTTTCCTCCCACAACTCAAGGAGAAAAGAAACTATTCTTTCTCCTATAACCTGAATGCTTAGCATACTGCCTGGGATTTAGTACGTGCTCAACAAACAATTGTTAATTATTAAGTTATTAATCATTATTAACACCACACCTAAACATATTCTTTTAACTCTTCCCTTCCACAAATACCTCATTTATTCCAATGTTTTATACACAACTCTACATACTGGTAAATTCAAGATTTTGCTTTGAGGGCAAAAGTTTTGTCTTCATCAAAAAAAAATTAAGACAGATTAATTTATTCTATGATCATGTTATATGAAAGATACAGCCTCATTTCAAGAATGGCTTTGTGTGCATATATACGGCATGCTTTCCTAATTATAAAGTTGAAAAACAATTCTTCATTTCTAGTAATAAGATAAACAAAGCATCATACCATTCCCTTTAGAAAACTAACGGGTGAAATAAATGGAGTAGAAAATAAGGGAATATGTAGTAAAGAAGCCCATAAACATTCAATATTGGTAGTTTTTCAAAGTTTTCACAGCAGCAAAAATATCCAAGAAGTTTCCATTTGATATTAGACTGCTTTGTTCCTTTTGTTTTGGCCTTCTTAGTACTTATTCACCACAGGAAAATATTAGCGCCAATTGTCCAATGTGTTCATTTCAACTGCTATGCTGTTTTCTACATGTTAATCTTGTATCCCCAAATGAGAACATTTTTACTTCAATAGGCCTAAAATGACATATTAGGTCTAAGCAGAAAGCAAGCACTCAACAGCTATTTATTGAATAATTTAGATTACAAATATATACTGATGAAAGAGTCTAAATGAAAGCATCTAAACCTTGATCAAGCTTTGCAGCTGATGTATTGTTAAAGAGTAAGGTGGTTTGTTTTGTAGTCTTAACATTTTACTTTAAAAACAAAAACAAAACCCACCAGCCACTATTTCACAATACTAACTACAATTTATCAAACAGAACAGGCCAAAAAGTTTTAACAAGTCACTGCGATTTAAAACAATCCTATGGCAAGAATTTCAGTGAGGTTGGATATATTTTTAAAGTATCATAGATCACTGTCAAAACCAATAATCTAGTAATGCAGGCATGATTTGGGAGTCTATTTTAGTTTAGTCATTTGTCAATCGTGAATACCTTAAAAATCACTCCTCTAACCAGCTCAGTTTTGAGAAAAGTTTTAAATCCAAAGACACATCTCTAAATCACATCTTTTTTCAGCACATAAAATTCTAATAAAAAAGCTCTCAATTCACAGTTCACAAATCACTAGAAAAAGAAAGTACATACACATCCAATACTCACCAGGTTTTATGGGGGGGGGGGGGGGAAGAGACTTAAAGTATTTTCTGTTATTTGCAGCTGCCTTAACAGCAAATGACAATTAAATGTGTGAACAAGGTTGTCAGAGTAACACTTGTCATTCACACTACTTATGGAAATGCGCCCCAAGACTTCCAGAAGCACTAATTAAAATTAACGAAAGCTTCTCACGGGGACTTGTCAGAGAAGTACATTTTGTCATTTGCTGTTTGAAACAGGAGAACACCAAATCGCCTCAAAGCTCAAGAGTTTTCCCCTTAAGGTCTAAATCCAACCCACCTCCCTGGCATCGGCACTGATGAACTGAGCCCAGATGCTGAGCAAGCAACTCATTAAGAGTTCCAATTCCAATTTCTTCAATATAACACAACCATCCCGAAAAAGAAAAAAAAGAAAGAAAAAGGAAAAAAAAAACAATCCTGATGTTAAAGGCGGTATGAATTTTCTTTCAGAAATCAGAAGAGAAAGAGGCGAGGGAAAATATCTTTTCTCTTTACCAAGGAGCGGTGAAAGGTGCAATTTCCCACCGGTAGTTTCTAGATATATCGCTCCTTTACTAGCCTTTTCTTTAACTCAGAGTGAATACTCAAAACGAGAAAAATTTTGAACACGACCCACCTCTATGCCCAAAGAACCAAGGTAGACTCACCCAGGACTCAGGTGGGCCTTTCTCACCTGGGCCCCAGAAAAGTCCGCCGTCCCCACGTAGAGCTCACTTTTCAGCAATCCTCCTTGCGATTGGTTGACTGGAAAGAGAACTCTCAATCCTATTGGCCACGAGAGCCGTGGTACTGGGCAAGGAGGCGGGAGTTTGGGACTGGCTCTGACAGGCCCGCTGCTTGAGTTCCCAGAGTTCCTATTGGGTCAACGCGGGAAGCTCCAAGATGGCGGCAGTGGCGACCTGCGGCACCGGTGCTGGGAGTACTGGATCTATGGTGGCGGCAGGCAGCAAGAACAACGTCACCAGTTTCCAGAGGAGGGGTCCTAGAGCCAGCGGTTCTGACAGCAGCTATTCTCGACTGGTGTCCATCGCGGGCACACGACCGTCGGTACGGAATGGACAGCTGCTGGTATCAACTGGGCTCCCAGCCCTGGACCAGCTCTTAGGTCGGTTCAGAACGGAGATTTGGGTTTAGGGAGGGCACCTGCCGGGGAAGCCACCCTAACCTCACGTCTCTCTCTCCTCCTCAGCCTTCGGACGTGGAGAGGATAGTCCGGTCTGATAGTGACGGAGGGGAGGAAGGGTTACACTGAGACTTTTAAATGCTGTTACTGCTCCCACTTTCTACTGTGGTTCTGGCCCACCAACCTTTTTTAGGTTACGACGGGATCCCTACATGTTTTTTGTTTGTTTGTTTGTTTGTTTGTTTTCTTGAAATGCTGCCTAATAAGGGGGAATCATTAATACTTGGAGACGGTTTGGCCTTCATCTCTAGGATCCCCTCCTGGCCTCTGATTGCACCCTTCTGTCAACCCCAGGTAGTTCGTGGTTTGGCCTAACCTACAAAAGTTTGTATCATTGTGAGAGATTTGAAAATGCTGGGGGAAAAAAAAAAGGAACTTCCCTTCTTTCACCGCCAGGCTGCTTATCTCCTGGTTCTGAATCTTTAAACAAACTCTACTGGCTTTTAAGGGAATGGATGTTAAAGGCTTATGTGGATTCAAAGTAGTTAAATCCTGTTGTTGATATTGACGGTCATACTAGTGTCTGCGTTAAATATATGTATATAAATTTTTGTTAATTTTTTTCTCTATATATTTTGCCTCCCAGAGTTAAACTCCAAAGATACGTTTAAGGTTAATTCATATTTTAATGAGAAAAAGAAATCCAGTTCTTAGGTCTTCCTGTAAAATCTGTAATTTTTCATGAGAAGCCTACTGAAGAGTAGCTTGTTTCATAACTATTATGTTGCAGAGATTGACCACATTAGATTGGTAGGACAGAGCTGCTGTGTTAAGAGCTTGTAAATTAGTTAATACCTGTTAGAATGTTTCTTCATTAAAATTGGTCTATGTTTATATTTCATAACTTCTATATAGTATGTGATATGTGTCAGTTAAATCTTGTACACTTTCATAAAATATTATAAATGACGTTTCTGGTTCTTGTACTTCACTTGACATTTCTCTATTTTTTACCCTTCAAGGTACACTTTTCAGGTAGGTTTAGTGCAAAGGAAATTGACAAGGCAAGCAAACTGTGAGAAAGAGTGTGGCTTCTTGTCTCTGTTATTTCACATCCTTAACTGGATCCTGGTTATTTCTACATAAATTTAAGTATTTTAACTTAATTGTTTTAAGTCCGTTGCCTTCCTCAATTTCATGGTACTAAAAACAAATGATTCAAAATATCTAGTTAGCAAATATTTATCTCACTTTTTTCCCTGGTGAATTTTACCTGGTGTTGTCCTATATTTGAACTGAAAGCTTGAAAGCTGTTCTTAGTCCTTGCCTTTTTTTTTTTTTTTAATTCAGTGGAGATCTGTAACTTCATTCACTTGATCCTGAAGCTATTCAAACAAAAAGGTCACATTTCTGACATTATACCTTCAGTTTCTCATTAGAATAACAAAATGCCTAGCACAGTTCCTGGCATATAGTTGATTCTCATTAAGGTCTTGATTGAAAGAAAAATAATGCGTAAAAAAACAAAACAAAACAAAAAAAAAAAAACCTGGACAAGAGATTCTGAAACATGTAGGTTGAGTTATGTGTTTGAGCTTTAAAAACAGACACAAATACAGTGATGTGAACAGAGTCATAAAACTAGAGACCGTCTATCTAGGCTGATCTTTGGGCTTCAAATTCAGTGTTCACTATGCTACAGCTGTCTCAAATTTTTGAGAACTCTTAAGTGGCTTTAAGCATTCATCAAACCTAAGACTAATGATTTAAGTATGTGTCTTAAAGCACCCACCAAAAAGTTAACCCAAAGCACCTTCCTTATGTGTTTCTACAATGATATAAACTTGAACTATAATTTAAAAATCTTCCAGATTTGCTTGAGGGGGACCCTAGTATTTGACTGTAATAAGCTTATGCTGAAAATTGGTGTTCATTAAGATAATTGAAATAGGTATCAGTTTTTGGATATTTTGAAATATATTTTGCATGTATACAGTTAATTCTCAAAGAGCACAGAAGTTGAAGAGGTTGTTATTATAGAAGTTAGTACATTTGGAATAATAAATATGTCTAGAAGTATTTTAGTTGTTAACTTCTTCATGGCGTTTTTGTATTTTTATTTTTTTATTTTGTATAGCTCTGTAGAGCAAATCCATTACATTTGTTTTACATTAAAATATTATTTGGAAGTGAAACATTTGGCTGCTTATGTGTATACACATAAATATAAGTAATTAGATTATATTGTTATTCTAAAATATTATTTGCCTCAGATTGTGACAAGCCTAATATAACCATATTGTGACAAAATATAATGATAGTAGGATGTTATGATACCAGAATGGTGAAACTGTGCTATAACATTGTATTTATTGCCTAAATGTATTTTGTGGTTACTGTGTAACAAGTAAATATTGTGTTGTCACTGCCATGCAGTGCAGTGATTTTTACTACTGCCACTGTAATGTCAATGTAATTTTAAGCATAGATGCAAAATATATTTAAATGTATATTTGAATATATTACACAGGCAAATTGAATGTTGGTCTTTTGAACATATGCTGGTATTTCTATTCATATTCCCAAGTGCTTTATAAATTTGAGGATTCCCCATATCAACATCTTTTAAATGTGATCTAATCATATTAAATACTTTTGTTATGACAACTTAAATTTTGTTAGATATTGACATACATTTTCCAACTTGGCCACATTGAAATTTTTTCAAATTCTAAGGTTTCCTAACCCAGGCTCCCAGCCTTGCCTTTCCAGGACATTTATGTTGTTATACGAGGACACTATATGTAAATATTTTATTTTTCTTCTTCTAAAGATTGGAAAAAGTTTACAGTAGGTGAAGAATTCTGGCAGGATTTCTTTTTTTCTAGAATAAAAAAATATAGCTCATCCTAGGATTATATTGTCTAACCTGGAGGAATTTTCCCCAACCTCATCCTTCAAAAGGATACTTGAAGAAAGAGTGATTTCCCAGGTTTGACTGGCTTAAAATTTATGTGCTGTTTGGAACTTACTCAGTTTTGACAGTCAAGTGAATAGAAGATAGGGATTTGGGATAAATAATAGTTCGGGAAGAACACTCCAAAGAAGCCTGATGGTTGCTGCCAATTTTCAACACTAATGTCAAAAAGTAAAAATACTGGTGGGCTTATTTCCTTTGCACCACAGTGTCTTAATATAGAGTGTGAAATGTACTTTGAGTTTGGACTATATATTAAAAATAATCCTGGTTATGCTAGTTTAGCAACTGATATCTGTACATTTAAGGGAAATGTAGCTTATTCCTTTGTATTGTTATATAAAACTATTTCATATAATTTAAACTACAGAACCATTCTCAATGTTAGTAGCTTTTTCTATTTGTTTCCTATATTTGCCCAGCTAATAGTTTTGATAATCAAGGATTGTCAGGATATTTACTACCTCCTAGTGACAGATGAAAAAGTTGAATTGTTAACAAAATAAACTGCAATTTAATTTGAGGTATGGCATTAAGTAGTTAAGGACATTGCTATGAACCAAGGAAAGAATATGAACTTTTTGTGCATTGTATTTTCCCTAAAATGACCTTCTATGATTTTATACAAAACTATTCCTTTATAGAAAACACTAGAAAGAACTGATATAAATCGTTGTCTTTCCTGACTTTTCGTTCTTTTCCCTTTTACTTCCTGTAACTGAAAAAGGAGATGTCTTTGTAAGATTTCACTTCTGGGCCTTCTTGTCCCAATATATTAATTTGGCCTTGCTTACCCAGAATTTATAGCTTAATTAGAGATTTGTTTTGGGAAGTGTATGGGGATTGAATTTTCTACTTTTAAAATCATTTTCTGGGGTCCCTGGCGAGCTCAGTTGGTAGAGCATGTGACTTTTGATATCAGGGTTGTGAGTTCAAGCCCCACATTGGACATGGAGCCTACTTAAAAAAAAAAAAAAAAATTGTAGGAGTGCCTGGGTGGCTCAGTGGGTTAAGCATCGACTCTTGATTTCTGCTCAGGTCTTGATCTCAAGGTTGGTGGGATTGAACCCTGCATGGGGCTTCACAATGTCAGAGCCTGCTTGGAATTCTCTCTTCCTACTACTCCCCCACACATGCACATGCTCTCAAAATAAATAGACTTTTAAAAACAAAAGTTATAAAAATTAAAATTTTAAATCATTTGCTAATTATTCACATGAATAAAAAACAACCCTTTGTATTTTAAAAATCATAAAATTTCAAGATAATTGTCAAGATCTTAAATTTTCTGGTAATGTTTTCTAAAGTATTAGATTTTTTCCTAGTTTTCAGACAAAATGCTGTGTCATTTTTAAAATTTAAAACCTTGAAATTAACACTTTAAAAGAATCCTCAAGCTTTCAAACTCATTATCTTACATGTTGATAAACTATTCTACCTGTATTTTTAGTAAGCTGGAAATACATAGACTTATTAAAGAAATCCATAAGTAAAACCAAGAGTTTATTTGCTTAGTGACTTCAATGTGATGATTGCCTGAGATCTGATTAAAAGAGAAAGGAGGCAATAAACAAGACCATTTCACTCCTTATGTTTCATCACAGAAATAAGATGATTGCTTCCTTTCCTGTTACGTACCTGTCAAACATTTTAGTGAACTATTGGGAAAAGATAGTCTATTTTAATTGGGAACTATTAATGTGAAATCTGTGTTCCTTTTCAAATAAAATTACTAATGGATATTTGCATTTAAACATCTATTAAAACGAGCTTTGGTTCAATGTAACATGTCAAGATAGCCTGTCATGGTTAGTTGCTTAAGCTTTGGATTTTTTGATGAAGGCATAGCTACAAACTTGCTCAAACTTACGTCAGAACCTCAGTGTATCAAGTGAGGTATATCTAAATACCTTATATAAACAGAGGTATTTTAGGGAAATGTAAGGTCTTGTCACACTGAAATTTGGAAGAACAGAGGAACTTTGCTGCTATATGTGTGTGTATATGTCCATGTCAAATCCTTTCACCTCATACACACACAATAAAAGTTTGAATTTTAAAATAGTAATAAGGTGCCTTCATCTTATTCCCCATGACCAACCTTCAAAATGACCAAACTTTACCTGAGCCTTCCAAATTTGAATCTAGTAAATTTACATAATAGAACCCTTTAGAAAAAAAATTTACCTTTTTAAAACAACTTTTTTTTTTTTAATTTTAGACAGAACGTGAGTTGGGGAGAGAAGCAGAGAGAGAGAGAGAGAGAGAGAGAGAGAAAATCTTGAGCAGGACCCATGCCCATGGTGGAGCCCGATGCAGGGCTCAATCTTAGGACCCTGAAGTCATGACCTGAGCCGAAATCCAGAGTTGGATGCTTAACCAACTAAGCCACCCAGGGGCCCCAAAACTTCCTTTTTGTAAGAGAAGTTCTGATAGTATATTAAGATGATTGGTTAAAGTCATTAAAATGTCCTCATTTTATGTTGTTTTAAGTAATGTTCAAAGTTTCCAAACATAGAACTTTAATGTACATGAGATTTTAAGATTTAATTGGGTGGCATTTCCTGAATTGTCAGAAACAGTGGATTACTTGAATCATTCTTACAGAAAATTGCCTTCTTGGCATACACTCATTTGTGATGCTTTGTATAATGCTTTGCTTAACTAATTCATCAATGGGAAGTATTCTTACTAAGTCTTATTACTATAGTGATCACTATCACATAATGATAAATCTTTAATGATTTGTTTTAATTAGAAAATAATGGCCAGAATGGTAACAGCTATTACTGACTACCTCTCTGAGCCAGACACTTGAGAACTAGGTATCACTTCATTTACTCAGGAAACTATTCCTTGATCTGTTCTTATCATCACACTGTGAATAACATTCACACACAAAAAAAAATCTTTAATTCTATAACTATTCCAGTTGTATGCCTTACATAAATTCTTATTTTGAGGCTACATGAATGTAGACCCAGGGATGTTTAGGTTAGAAACCTAAATCTTTCCTATAAGAAATAAGTTATGGAAAGAAAAGAAGCTAACTTTTATAGCATCTCCTCTAGACTATACTGCAGTCTGCTATATCCATCTATTAGTTCATCTTAAATATACACACAATGATGATTAGTATACAAATGCTTGTTTTTTCATGTATGGGAAAGTACAGAAATAAGCAATTAGAAAGTAATATGCTCCACATGGATCAAAACATCAGTGGTAGTCTAGATGTAGCACAAACTTTGTAAAAGTAAACATTGAGCCTAATCTTAGAGAAGATCTTTTGTTTCTACGATCCTTCATGGTTGTTATCCTGTATATTTCAACTTATGTGAATCTTTTATTTGGAACAACATTTGAAGTTATCCTATGTAGTCTGGTGTGACTTCAAATGCTGTCATGAAAGAACATATCTAAATGTGAAATTAAAATATAGATTTAGTCTATAACAAATCCTTCTAAACATAAAAATGTATAAATTACTACTTTCTTCTTTTTAAAACCTTCTTCTCTAACAACTTGAAATGTTCTACCTGTAGTCATCAAGTCACCAAAGTCACCAAGTGTGTTCATGTATGTGACCAAATTTCACATTCGTTGAAACATAACATTTATGCATATTTGCAAGGTCAAAATGTAAACACTATCAAGGGAACTTTTCATACTAAGTTTTTCTATATAATGTTTGCCACTACAAAATTTGTTGGGGGAAGAGTTCTTTATTGGTATTCTGTTTCTTTCCCAGTTTTATGCACCAAAACCGAAAAACACATGTAGGATTGACTTCAATTGTCCACCAGTTTTGACTAGTTTCTTTTTTAATTACTTGAAATATATTTCATTCTTTGAAATACACATTTTATTTTTTGTAAGTGAATTTGCTAGTATAATTTGTAACATTAGTTGCAAATAGTAATACTTTTACAAATATTTTTACCAATGTTTCACAAGATATTTGTACTCAAATGTCTTTTTACTGTAGTTCTAGTCTCCTAAAATTTGATTTTAAATTGATTTTTAATGAAATCCCTATTTAACTTCTATGCTCAGGATCATATTATCCTAATTCAGATATTCAAAACAACATTTCCTTCAAGTATTAAAAATGTATTTTATGATTGTGACCTTTTTGTTTGAAATACAAAAGTATTGTTCATTTTAAATTCTAAATGTATTTAAGAGTATGCACAGTCTTTGCGTATATTATTCATAATGAAAAAAATTAGCTTAATTATCAGGGTTATTTTCCCCCAAGGCTTATTGAATGTGAGGGTAAATAATAAAGTGGAATTTCTATTATAATAACCTTTCTTTTTAATGTTGTACTTCTGTAGTATTAAGTTACTGTGAACATTTAGGTCTCGGCTATTGAGTTAATTTATTAACAAGTGCTAAATATAACATTACTGGAACACGTAACCGCAGTTATATTGAATGCTACATGGTCCTATCACAGGAGAAAGGAGGATAGTACAGTATATTATGAAAGTAATTGTAATGTGTAGTGTGTAATTACATATAATATGTAATTATTTCATAATAGCACCTTAAGCAAAGTATTGCAAAGGTAATTAAAATGTTGTTCTCATCTGCAATTTTAAAGTTACTGAAGTAGCAGTTCTTGATAAAGCTTAACTTTTATGCTAAAGATAAGGTGTATAAAAAGGTAGCTAGATTAATTTTCTTCTTTGTTTTGTTGCACTTCCAGGTGGAGGTTTGGCCGTCGGAACGGTTCTTCTAATTGGTTAGTATGGCATACACACTTTGTTCTTCCTAATCAGAGTTCTCTGTTGTGCATAATGATTTTATGGGTTTCCCTATTCTGATATTAAATATATCACTTTCTATAAGAATTAAGGTAAATTAGAGAGGAAATGCCTTAAGTTTTAATTTAAATTCAAATGTTGATCTGAACTTGAAATAAATGAAGCAAGTATATCTGAAAATATAGCTCTTATAATTTAAAAATGTTCACAGTGCATTGTCCTCCATTTTTTTTAAAAAAAGCTAAAATCATTGCCAATTGTTTTTTTGTTTTATTTTGTTTTGTTTTGTTTTGTTTTGTTTTGGAGAATCTCTGTATTTGTATTTTCAGTGGAATTAAAACAGTGATTAGTTTGAGAAGTTGATGTGCCAATAAGTCCATTGTATATATATATCATACATTTTTCTCATTTTCTTCTTATTGAAAGAAAAGTAACAGGCCAATAAATCATATTTTGCTCATCTTTAAGCACCAATGGTTCTTATTTAATTATACATACATAATCCCATTTGCCTTATTGTTTAGTTTAGATCATAGAATCTTGGAATTGAAATAAACCTTGGCAGTTACGTAGTCAAAGCTCCCATCTAGCTACAAATCACTTTTCCATCATCCTTGACAGTAGCAAACACCATTTGAATATAGATTATATAGTTTAAAGGGCTCATTACTTCACAAAAGAATGCATTTTTTTTTCAGTATATGAAATTTATTGTCAAATTGGTTTCCATACAACACCCAGTGCTCATCCCAAAAGGTGCCCTCCTCAATACCCATCACCCCCCCACCCCTCCCTCCCACCCCCCATCAACCCTCAGTTTGTTCTCAGTTTTTAAGAGTCTCTTATGCTTTGGCTCTCTCCCACTCTAACCTCTTTTTTTTCTTTTTTTCCTACCCCTACCCCATGGGTTTCTGTTAAGTTTCTCAGGATCCACATAAGAGTGAAAACATATGGTATCTGTCTTTCTCTGTATGGCTTATTTCACTTAGCATCACACTCTCCAGTTCCATCCATGTTGCTACAAAGGGCCATATTTCATTCTTTCTCATTGCCACGTAGTACTCCATTGTGTATATAAACCACAATTTCTTTATCCATTCATCAGTTGATGGACATTTAGGCTCTTTCCATAATTTGGCTATTGTTGAGAGTGCTGCTATAAACATTGGGGTACAAGTGCCCCTATGCATCAGTACTCCTGTATCCCTTGGGTAAATTCCTGGCAGTGCTATTGCTGGGTCATAGGGTAGGTCTATTTTTAATTTTCTGAGGAACCTCCACACTGTTTTCCAGAGTGGCTGCACCAATTTGCATTCCCACCAACAGTGCAAGAGGGTTCCCATTTCTCCACATCCTCTCCAGCATCTATAGTCTCCTGATTTGTTCATTTTGGCCACTCTGACTGACGTGAGGTGATATCTGAGTGTGGTTTTGATTTGTATTTCCCTGATGAGGAGTGACGTTGAGCACCTTTTCATGTGCCTGTTGGCCATCCAGATGTCTTCTTTAGAGAAGTGTCTATTCATGTTTTCTGCCCGTTTCTTCACTGGGTTGTTTTTCGGGTGTGGAGTTTGGTGAGCTCTTTATAGACTTTGGATACTAGCCCTTTGTCCGATATGTCATTTGCAAATATCTTTTCCCATTCCTTTGGTTGCCTTTTAGTTTTGTTGGTTGTTTCCTTTGCTGTGCAGAAGCTTTTTATCTCAAAAGAATGCATTCTTGTTGTAAATGCTATAATGTTTTAGAAAGTTCTTCATATTAATGTTGAACCTGTATAATTTAACAGATTTGTTGTTCCTAATTTTGCCCTCTGGCATAATACAGAATTAATTTATGTACTTTTTCATGTGACACTCTTAAAATACTTGAAAGTAACTATTTTATTGCTTCAGATCTTCTCTAAATGAAATAGAGAGTTTCTTAATCTGCTTTTTATGTGTTGTAGTTTTCACATTCCTCAGTCTCCTGGTATGTTCTTTTGTCGCACCTTTCAGTCAGCACCATCTCTTCAACTATGCTCAGAACTGAATACAATATTCCAAATTTAGTGTGACCTATATTCAGCATATTGAGACTGTCAAATGTGATAATCCAGATAGAATTACTATTTCTATGTCCAATAAAGTTGCTTTATATTCATTGACTTCTCTTAAGGTAGCAATGAAATGTGTTAAGTATTTTAGAAAACTCTGCTCCAGGAATGACTAAAATGCAAAATGGTTGTGGGGCGCCTGGGTGGCTCAGTCGGTTAAGCATCCGACTTTGGCTCAGGTCATGATCTTGCAGTTCACAAGTTCAAGCCCCACGTCAGGCTCTGTGCTGACAGCTCAGAGCCTGGAGTCTGCTTCAAATTCTGTCTCCCTCTGTCTGTGCCCTTCCCCTGCTTGTGCTGTATCTCTGTCTGTCTCTCTCTCTCTCAAAAATAAATAAACATTAAGCAATTAAAAAAAAACAAACAGTGGTGTGTAAAATTTGCTACATACATAAGCATTTCTCTAATAAATGAAGCTCAATCTGGAAAACTCAAAAGAGATTTGTAGTATATCTTACTCCCCATCTCTGCTGGATAATTGAAAAGTAGAAATAATAATAGTGGAGCTGCCCTTTATTTAAGTCTCACTCTGGGTAATGTATTGTGGTAAATGTTTTATACACAATTTTTCCCTTAATATAACAATCTTATAAGATACTACATGTAATCCATATTATCCCCATTTTATATTTTAAGAAATAAGATTCAGAGGAGTGAAGTAACTTTCCCATTATCACATAGTTAGTGAGAGAACTAGGATTCGAAATCTGGTATGACTGAAAAGTTCATATTTTTTGTAACTGTGCTATGTAGCTTTTTTAATGCTTCATTTAATGATCACAAACACTAAAATAGGAGTTTTATGCCTTTTTTTAGAATAAAGTATTAAATAAAGAAAGCCTACATTTGTGTGGGCTTTTTCTTTTAGTAAATTTTCAAATTTCTAAACTTGAAAGAGTCCTTCTTTAATTATTCACAATAAGGATACAGGTTGCAGCCGTGCCAAAATTCTTTGTTTTAAGAGAACAAGTTGGTGGTTGCCAGAAGGGAGAATGGTGGGGAGATGAGTAAAATGGGTGAATGGGAGTGGGAGGTACAGGCATCTGGCTATGGAATGCGTACATCACCAGGATGAAAGGCAGAGCATAAAGATTCCAGTAGATGGTATTATAATAGTGTTATATGATGAGAGATCATAACCATACTTCTGGTGAACATAGCATAAGGTATAGAGTTGTTGAATCACTATATTGTATTCCTCGAAACTAATGTAACATTGTGTGTCAACTAAACTTCAATTAAAAATATAGTAAAATAAAATTTTTTAAAAAAGAAAAAACTCTTATTTTACATTATCAGCATTTCTTCATGCCAGTCTGAAGTTTTATGTCCATCATAATAAAACAATAACAGAGAATATTATTTAAGATTTGTTTCAGATATGCAATATTTGTTAAAAATTGGCCTTTATAGTTGCAGCTTATTGCTATCTAAAATATATTAATTTTTAAAGTTTTTTTAAGTTTACTTATTTTGAGAGAGAGAGAGTAGGGGAGGGGCAGAGAGAGAATGAGAAAGAGAGAATCCCAAGCCGGCTCTGCACTGCCAGATCATTACCTGAGCTGAGATCAAGAATCAGATGCTTAACCAACTGAACCACCCAGGTGCCCCTAAAATATATTAATTTTTAAAAATCATGCCATTGAGTCATTTTGGTCCTGTTTTCAGTCATCATATTTAACACAACCATTAGTTTCCGTGCAGCTCTTGGTGATAAAATATTTGTCAGTTTCTTACCAGCCATTTACTTTGATCACTACAATAGAATTTTCTGGACATTTACCTAGTGCCAAGTCTCTGAATAATATATAACATTTAAGAAAAAATTAAGTAAAATATGTTCTATAAAATATTTGTGTCACCCATCAGTTTTTAAGGACTTAGGGTACAGAATTATTCCTAACAGTAGACGTAAAAGGGAGAAATACCCTGTAATTGAGAATTTCCAGAAATGGTGATGTCAGTCTCATTTTTAAAAACTTATCTTTTAGTTAAGAATTGTTGAAGGATTTTATGGAAAAAATAATTCACAGTTTTAATATCAGTAAATAAATACATAAAATACAAAAGGATATCTAGAGAAAATTAGGTTGTCCTTTCAGTTGTTCATCCCCATACCCAGAGACAATACTGTCCTAGTATCTTCCCCAAATATTTTTACTTAAGAAATAAACATGGGAGCACTCTGCTTTTCCCACTTAACACATCTTAGAAATCCGTCCATGTGCATTCGTATGCCTCATTCTTTTAACAACTGTGTAAGATTTCATTATATGGATGTGCCATAATTTATTTAAATAATTCCCTATTGGGGCGCCTGGGTGGCGCAGTCGGTTAAGCATCCGACTTCAGCCAGGTCACGATCTCGCGGTCCGTGAGTTCGAGCCCCGCGTCGGGCTCTGGGCTGATGGCTCAGAGCCTGGAGCCTGTTTCCCATTCTGTGTCTCCCTCTCTCTCTGCCCCTCCCCCGTTCATGCTCTGTCTCTCTCTGTCCCAAAAAAATAAATAAATGTTAAAAAAATTTAAAAAAATAAATAAATAAATAATTCCCTATTGATGAATTTAAGTTCCATTTTTCTATTGCTAACAATGCTATTGTACATAATCTTGTATATAAGCTTTGCATACATATGTAAATATCTGTAGACTTGGACACTTGGGTGGCTCAGTTGGTTGAGCGTCCAACTCTTGCTTTCGGCTCAGGTCGTGATCCCAGGGTCATTAGATCAAGCCCCATGTCCAGCTCTGTGTTGAGCGTAGAGCCTGCTTGATATTCTCTCTCTCTCCCTCTGCACCTCTCTCCTGCTCATGCTGTCTCTAAAATAAAATTTAAAAAAATATTTTGAAAAATATCTGTAGAATGAATTCTAAGATATAGAGTTGCTT